AACATAACATTTTGAGAAATCATAAAATCTTCAGTTTCCATGCATATTAATTATTTTAACCATCATGACACATGATAGTTGAGATATATTACGTAAATTTTATTCTCTTGGAAAAATAAACTGTCAGGAATTTTAGAAGTAATCGATCATTGCATTAACAATTTTCTGATTGGGACTTTTCACTTCAATATAGGTATACTTTCTACCAATTTATACAATATTCAGAAGTTACCTATACCTTCTTTCGCATTAGAATTCGCTCGAATGAATTGAATTATTACTAAATTGTAAAAAGATATAGTAACACCAATGAACATTCATAGAATTTCATGAGTATGATTTTGAACAAACAGGTAATTTCCTTCTAAGAACAAATACTAACGGTTTTTTTCTTGAATTCATGAGTATATCTCGAAACTTTTGTTTGGTTAGTTCATAATCTTATTGATATATGCTCTCATAGTATTGCGAAATTGTTTGCTATGTAGGTACACATTTCACACAATTTCAATTTCATTTTAGTAAATCATTCTTATTAGGTATATGATTTTGATACTGTTCTATACCAAACCAACGCACACATCAACGAACACCGAGGCACTGGATCACATTGCCAAGGGAGGTGTTCCCCGAGGCAAATAACCTCCAGAAATTCAAGAAGAACACCAATTCCTACCTTATTTCCCTTGGTTCTCACGATGTTCTCTGAACATTACAGGATATCCCTTTTCGTAGGAACCAGAACATAATAGGTACCTAATTGAATTATTGCTTCGTTTCGGAGCCCACTCTGTATTATAATAGTGCCAAATTGTAATTTTTTACTGCAAAATATTCCAAGTTTTGCTCCTGAGCAAAATTGACCTTGTATTTTGTACATTAGCAAAATGGAATAAAAAAAGCAAATTTGATTAATTGTGTACAAAATTTATTCTAATAATGTGTACAATACTGATCAAAGTGAATAACTTTTAATTCGTTCATTCTCCTCTTCTTCTCTACTTCTACAATATTTCAAATTTCACTTGCGGGATTATCCCTCCCGATTCTTTTTGACTAGATTCGCAATTGAAAAACTCAAATAACGCAAAGTCCAAGTGATTCTAACGTCAGGTCGATTTTGGAGCCGAATAAAATATCCCATTCAATATTTGGGTCACTTGGTAAGTCCACTTGGTAGTTCCAATTTTATTTTAGTCTTTGAATTATTAAACTATCCTTAAAATGAGGAGGGAGATAATCGCTATTGATAAACGTTCATCTCGTGTATGTATGATTTTCCTAAAAAGGATATATAGAAGGAATTCTTCACAATTGCTCAAGGACTATTATAAACAATTTATTGGTAAAATAACCGACCTAAGAAATACTTCTATAACTGTATTCTGAATTCGCAAACAAAGACTAAGTATTGCAGAAATATAAATCAGCTTATACATTTGCATCTTATATAGCCATTCAATGAATATGAGGTAATCGGAATAGTTATACAGGGTGTATCTAAATATCACCGAAAAAATTCAAGGGGTGATTCCCTGTTATATTTTAGGAAATAAAGTTCCTTTCGTGCGCTCCAAGAGATGAAAAAAATATTAGAAAGAAGGGCTTCCAAGATTGGAATGAGTCAGTCTCACGAAACATCCGGTATAGGACCGAAAACGCGGTTCATTGGAGTATGGCATAAGGAGAATAAATTAGTTTATATTTTCAGTGATTGCCATTTATTCGAAGTTAGAGCCAATATTATATTTCGAAGACATTGGATGAAATAATTTTGTCCTAAGAGATAACTTAAAAAAATTAATTCTATCAATAACTCGCTATATATATACATCAGGGTGTCTGATGGTAAACCATGGATTGTTCTCTAGCTGGTAATAAACAAGTTCATATTTTAACCTATCAGAATACTACAACTTGATCTCAGAAAAAACCTCACGGTATTCGAGATATTGAAGGATTTTTTTTTCAATTGGAATTCTATCTCAGATTATTCTCTTCTGTTCCAAGCAAATGAGGAGCGTTTCATGCTAATTCTAATTTTCGATAAATATTACTGAATAGTAGTTGTAACAATCGCAGAAGGCAGATTTTCGTTAACAGTCATTTACAAAAAGATCCGATATGGATCCTTATTCATGATTTCTATTATGAAACTTTTTCATTTTCGTAGAATTTTCAATATTTCGAAAACTGTGAGGTTTCTACCGAGGTCAGGTTGAGGTTTTCTAATAGTTTATTATGAACTCGCTATAGGATATATACGATCCATAATTTACCAAACACCCTGTTAACCGGTTAGGTTTATCGAATTGAAATGAAAGTGCCTTCATTAACTGGATTACTGGTTATTATAATAGGTGGAGAAATATTTCAAAAACTAAAAAGTTTTCTCCAAAAAATATTCTCATCCTCAGTAAAACTGCCTCTCATTGCAATTATTTTCCTACATCATCAAATGCAGCACCTAATTTTATGTAAGTGAACATTGTAGAATCTAAATCATCTGATCAATGCATTTTCGGAACCTCATCTTCGTAGCAACTCTTTTTCTTGTTTCTATGACAGAAATGGGCCTCTATATACAGGGTGATCCACGGTGGATGGCCAATTAGAAGTATCTGCAGAACGAAAAGACAGAACATCCTGAAAATTGGATTTCTTCGATAATTGAACATTCTCTATCCGTCTAAAATATTTTCATCGATACAGTGTTGCCACTTCTATCAGAAACAACTAGCAACTTTGTTATTTCAAATGGAACACCTTGAATTTTATTGCATTTTTAGATTCTTTCTGAAAATACTAATTCCATCAATGTATCACACTTGGGGTCTAGCAGGAATGATTACAGAGATATAGGGTGTTCAAAATCGAGATTTTTCAATTTTAGGATTTTTTTGTGTCGAAACTATTCATTATCGATCAAAACGGTTTACATGTCCCTATCTTAACTCATGATTGACTATCTACTGGAATTTGATTGGAAAAATACAGGGTGCTTCAAGATTCAGAATTCTGATCACCCTGTATCTGTTCTAATTAAATGTCAATAGATAGTGAATCGAAGTTAAGATAGGGACATGTAAGCCGTTTCGATCAATAATGGATAGTTTCGACACAAAAAAATCCTGAAATTGAAAAATCTCGATTTTGAACAGCCTATATCTCTGTAATCATTCCTGCTAGACCCTAAGTGTGATACATTGATGAAATCAGCTTTTCAGGAAGAATCTAAAAATGCAATGAAATACAGGGTGCTCTATTTGAAATAACGAAGTTGCTAGTTGTTTCTGATTGAAGTGGCAACACTGTATCGATGAAAATATTTTAGACGGATAGATAATGTTCAATTATCAGAGCATCCTAATTTTCAGAACGTTCTGTCTTTTCGTTCTCCAGATACTTCTAATAGGCCATCCACCGTGGATCAGCCTGTTGTATATAGTATGATGCAAATGTATGGAATAAATTCATTATTTCAAAAATGGGCGAGATTTGAAAAAATTCCAAAAACACGTGAGTTTTAATTTCTGAAGCCTCATCTCATGATATTCATATGAGAGATGTTACGTCACCGGTGTTGAAGTAAAGACGTAATGGACGATTTTTTCATATACGAATAGGGGTCATGTGACACCTTGATTGAAAGGTCTACCGATCGTCTATTCAACAGTCAAAATGTTGCATAAGAAGATTGAAATTAAAATGGATTATCATGTGATTAATTGAATCTTGCAGAGGTCTGCTACTGAGAATTGAACATCGAAGGGTAGTCTAGTTAAAAAAATACGTCGAAAAAAATACGTCGAAAAAAAAGTTCTAAACTCTAGTTTTTGGTTTTTTCCCGAAAGTCGCCTTGTTTTGAAATGAATTTATTCCATACATTTGCATCATACTGTATATAAGTATTGTGTTCAATTTTGAAACACCTGCTGTAGCCAATTCAAGTCTAGTGGTTAGTTGTAGTTTCCAGGACAAAATAGGTAACATTTAATACTTTTCAGATTCTGAATGATATGAAAAACCATTTTGCTGCTGTCTAAAACCTTGATAGGACAGCCAGTTCTGATTCGGTTCACCCATTGAGATTATTCGATTCTTCAATTATTATATTTCGATCTTCAACACTCGTGTGTGTCAAAAATATAGACTGTCAGAACACAATGTTTATATAGGAACTTTTGTACATGCCATTGAATTTTGTACCAAATACCATCTGGTATTCCAGGATGTGAATGAGACATATACCAGATGATACAGGAGACATGTAACAGCTTGTAGTTTTTTTATTCGGATGAATAAAAATTTGAAATTCACAAGGGTTATATTATCAATAATGGCGCTTCCCTTGAACCCAATGACAATTTTCTTCAACCACCTCTTTGACCGGAAGTAGACCCAACTTTGTTTTTTCAAATGGCACCCTGTATATTTCTGGAGCCTATATTATTTGCTTGAAATTCTCTATTCAACTATGTATAACAATTTGATATTCGTTCATTAATTGGCTGTTAAATTGCATTTCATTGAAATACAAGCATCGAAATGTCATTGTATTCGGGCCACAGCCAACTTCATGTATTTCAATAAAATGCAATTTAACAGTCAATTAATGAACGAATATCAAATTGTGATACATAGTTGAATAGAGAATTTCAAGGCAAATAAGATAGACAACAGAAATATTAGGGATGCTGTTTGAAAAAAAAAGTTGGGTCTTCTTCCGAACAAACAGGTGGTTGAGAAAAATTGTCATTGGGTTCACGGGAAGAATTTTCATTTCTTCAACTAAAAAAACTACAGGCCGTATAACATGGTATAATATTGTAAAAATAATCTGTACGATAAAACGTTAACCGGCCATGCACTTCTCAAGAGAATTGACCAGATCACTTTATCAGACCCAAACTCTACATGTATCGAAATGAATATGTAGGGAAGTTTTGTTTTTTTTTCAGTCGGAAATAATGGTTCCATTCACATGCAAAGGACCGATTCGCCTCTCACATTTATTTATTCAAACATCCATATCTTCCGTTATATACGGTACATACCGTCACACCGATCAAGTTTTTCACTAAACTTATATTTGTAGTGTCAATATGCGAAATTACTTTGGCAACGATTATAAATAATATAAACACAAAAATAAGTATTCCTAATAAGTCTGTAACAGTCGACTGGAAACGAACTTGCACTCGTTTGAAAAACGTTTCTTAAATTATAGGAACGACCGCGAAATAAGTTATTATTTTATCACAAATGTATTGACAGGTAATAAATACTGAGGTATGTATACACATCACTATAGTCATCTCAAGGAACCACCATGATTATTTCACCTTCACTATTCTTCTGCCGATGGATTAGTAGAGGTGTCTTGGGGATCGAATCTGGTATTTCAGACTCCCTTATGGTCACCCTTTCTCTTTGAGGGGTGAGCGATTCGGGTTGAGTCTTAGGACGAATATCGACTTCATCTTCATCGTTGATGTGTCCGTTTTCTTTGGCATGCTCATCTGCGTCGCTCCTTCCGTTTTGAGGCAACTCAGGATGAGCAAGGGGGGTGAAAGATGTCAGCATTGGGGTATCAACTTTGGCTTTGCCATTCTGACCATTGATCAGTGGGGCATTTTCTGGAATATTTGACTTCCTATTTGGTTTCTCGTTATTGAAAGTTGTGATAGACATCTTGTTCAAAGGCTTCATTTCTTCACCATGTGTGTTCGGGATATCGTTCTTATTTTGCCTTCTCTTGGATTTGCGGTTTTTGAGGAAAGCAATCAAGAACAAAACACCCAGGAACAATCCCACTCCTATGATTGCATACACAGCTGTTGAATCTTTGGGCGCAATAGACGCCCTTTCTAACTCTGATGTGTTGGTGCTATTCGAAATCATTTCCACATCTTCTTTATCAGAAACCTTCTCAAGCCTGCTTTCTGTTTCCTTGACTATTTCTGGTTCCACAATTGGCGGATTTGTACTTGGGGCAACAGTACTAGTAGAAGAAGTAGCAGTGACGCTTGTAGATGATGTAGTAGAAGTAGTTGTAGGCGTAATGATGGGATGAGTGATTTCCTCTTCTTTGAATAAATCATTGTATAAGATCTTGAATTGATCTATCACACTAGGCAGCGGTGAATCATATTCACTATCATTAGCACCAACAGGTCCAGGTGTCGAACAGCTTCCGATGCATCCAAGCATTTCAAACCCACTACCTTCATCTCCACTACCTTCATCTCCGAGGAAAGCACTCTCCGACTGAGGGTTCGTCGTAGTTGGGCCATCCAAAAACTCATTTTTCTTATCATCAACGATAGTGTTTCCTTCTATCACATTTTCGTCATCTTCTTCTTGTACCAGAGGTATGTTCGTCCCTCCTTCTATGTTGAAGATGTCAGAACTTCCCGAACCTTCCACTGGTTCGTCGTAAAGCATTATATCGGCCATAGAGCAGCTGATGCTGCTGACGTCTTTTCCTTGGAACTTATTAGGCGAATAACAGGTAACAGCTCTTGGTACTTTTACGCCACTCAATATCAGTCGCTCGTAATTCAAAACATTGCCATTATTGCAATCACAGTCTATTGGGTTCTTGTACAAATGTAGAGTCTTCAGTGCTTTCAGGGATATCCAGTCTTTTGGTATTTGTGTGAGCAAATTGTGAGATATGTCTAGAACCTCTATATTCGGAGGTAAGGCAGTCATGTTGATATTCTTCAAGCTGTTCGCTTTGAGAATGAGCGTTTTCAGGTTGTACAATTTAGGAATTGAAGTGATGTCGACATTGTTGTAGGATAGGTCTAGGTGAATCAAATTCTTCAAATACTTCAGTTTAGGGTCAACTTTGTTTACTGAAGCATTCACTATAGTTAAGTTGACTATCGAGCTGAATTGCTTCTGTGTGAATTTGCTCAAAAATTCGAAAGAGGTTGTTTGTAGCTGTTCTTCTGGGCACGATTCATTAGAACAAGGGTGTATAGATGCTCCGAGTGTTGTCCCTAGGACTGCGAGCAACAGGAAGATGTTTTTCCACATTCTAGTTGATCCTGAAACAAAAATCAATGTTAAAGACTATCTCTTGAAAGATATTATATAGATATCAATAAGTACAGAACCAAACGGTCAAGAGTCTTGATACTACTATATAAATTGCTATCTATGCATGTTATTTTTGTGTTTCGTATTTCTTAAATTAATTCAAATAATATCGGAACCAATCTCAATAATATTTGGTTAAGGATAATTCCTCGGATACATTATAGAACTATTTCATTGATCTGCACTACAGAGGAAATGAAAAAAAAAGGAATTTTTTTAAGCTACACAGATTTTAGTGAATGAAAACAGTCCACATGGAAGATGCATAAAATGTGTTTGAAATATCTACGATTTCCAGTTACAAAGTAAGCATGGCGGTTATTTGTTCAAAAGCGATGATGACTTATTGCTAACAGCTTGAATGATTGAAACAAATGGCAAAAGACAAGAGTGTAATGTTAAACTTCCGCAATAATCCAACGCATTCTCTATGAATGCACAAGGATACCAATCGAAAATGCCCATTGCGCAATTGACATTTGCATAGGAGAGTCGAAGATTTTTGTTGTAGTACACTGCCCACTCGACCAGTGGCATAGGCGTCTTGACACACTCCACAGGGTGGTCTACAGCAGGAATACTTATACAACATTTATCAATTTTTCAATGAATTTATTTGTTCAATAGTACACCTAGAGGCCTAATTGACAAAGTATCTTTTGGATATACAAAATAATAGTTGAACTGACTTATGTAAAATCGATACCTAAATAGATTATATAGTCAAGACAACAGGGTGGTCACATTTTAAATGGAATTGTATTGGTAACTTGAGAATGGTCTGGAGAATACGAAACGTTGGATGCAAAATCTGAAAACGTCGAATTAAATGAGAAACCTACAAACAATTTTTCGGTAGTTCTGGAAATAAATGAAGGATAGGTAACCAAAAAACAGAAATCATCTAATTTTGTTTTTTCGTCATGCTTCCTGATACGCAACTTTTTCTCCATTCAAACTTCTAACTTGTAGGGTTTGGACTTAAAGAAGTGGTATTCATATAATCAAAATAACGTGAAATGAAAACAATGATTGAAGAACCTACATATAGAAACATCATAAATAATATATGGTTATCATCTAGGAAGAATATAAAATATAGCTCCAAAATATACATGCATCAAGATTTATTGTCGCATTTCTAAAAGCTGTATCTAGTGTATGTTTCTGAAAATTTTGTACTAATTTTATCGTTCGTAATTTTTTGTTTTCATTCAATGTGGATTTCTAATACGAAACGTTCAGGTCAATTCAAAAAAATATGACTAAATATCGAAGTAATCATTCAGCTATTCAATATTAGTGATTCAAATTGAAATCATTATATTAACAGTTGAAAACAACGTTAAGATTATGCTATGCATATATTGAAAATTGTTTCGAATTCATCCTAATCAGATTTCGCCGCCAATGTCCTACGTTTATCAAAAATATATTCTGAATTACATGAGATAACCCTGACATATCTGATGAGCCTTCGTCTAACATAATACAAAATGGAAGAAAACTTGTCAAAATGTCAATGTCAAAAACTACCAACTATAATGAGCATGTTCCTAGAACATGAAATGGTTCGGGTGCTTTTTCTGTATACCAGAGTACATCTACTGACGCCAATGTATATTTGCAAACCGAGATGAAATCGTTCTAATCCATTTATTTACGATTGTTATCTCAACAATTTACAATTATTACACCGGCGTCAGTGCTGTTTGGAGGTAAATAGATAATAATGCCACGGTGATTACCAAGTTGAAACGCTCGTCTATGGCTTAGTAAGGTATTCAGAAACCAATTTGGTACAACACGATTGGGACCAGAGATAAAGATTCTTCTTCAGGAGTTGGAACAAAATTCTTTGCAATAACGGATTTTTATCGATTTATCAATTCTCTTACAGTTTATGATTAGCTTCACCAAAGAGATCATTAGTCAAGAAGATAGTTGGTGAATGATGAATTTATAATGTGCATTCAGATATTGATATTGGTATAGTTAGGGAGTATCTATGCTATTCCAAGTAAATGGTCCCGACAGATAATGAACTTATAGTCTTGGTGACGATGAAAATCTCTCAACAAACCTCATTATACCTATAGGCGACTGCTGATTTTGAAAAGAGAAAGCGTCATACCCAAAGGTAATAAACATTGCTTGAAGATAAGACTGCAATAATTCATAATATGACTATGAGCTAGTTAAACTAAGAATGCCCTGATGGTGGTCTCGCAAGTCTACCTATATTCAGCAACATTTACCTATAGGTAGATACTTGATTATAATACATAGGTAATCATTTTGTATTGATTGAACCGTTATCCTTAATGGAAATCCATAGTAAATGTGAAAATCTCCACGAACGATAAGATTTCCACAAAATTCTTGTAAACACGACATGTTTCGTTAACACAGTAGCTTCTGCAAGTGTACAATAAATTCCTCTGTATTTTTTCACAAATCAATTATTTCATACAGGGTGAAGGGTGGTTAACATTGATAAAACAATCGTAGGGTGATTCCCGATTTCATGAAAAAAAGTTCAGAAAACATTTATCGTTAAATAAAGCTTCCAAAATCATGAAGTTTGGTTCATCACAAGAACTTTCGATGCCGAATCAGAATTAGATTTCAGAATTTAAAATTTTTCATCAGGGGCGCGTACCCTACTGGATGGGATAAGGGTAAAAACATAAGTCTCTGACGGTTTTTTCGTACCTAAAAGTACTCCAACTTCGAATTGATTTCACAATATTTTCGAAACCGCTCATATACACGGTGATTCATTGAGAATGAACAATATCTAAACTACAGATAGTTAACACCAAAATATGATGCTTTAGCTAGCCAAACATGACTAATAAGAATGTTGCTGGTTCAGGAGATGTACCCTGTTCGAGGGGAAGATTTTATTTTAAAATTTCCCAATAACTTTGTGAGTTTCAACAGCATGAACTTGATATTTTGAAATTTCAGGTTTTCTGACATAAGAAAAATGAATGCGTAATTTATTTTGTGATTGCCCCTAGAGAGCGCTAGTTGCAATCTGTTTTTTCGATGAATTGCTTCATATCTACTTCGTCCGTTAAATGATGATCAAAATAAGTCAATAATCTGAAAGCCCCTTCAATTTTACATAAAAAAAGTACTGTTTTCCAATTTTTTTAGCTCTAACGGTTATTGCGTTATTCGATATTCGCTCTTGAAGAGGTTTGTGTCTCACTTTCAACATTTTTTATTATTTTGAATTATCAAGTAGGTGAAATGATAGTGGTGAAAAAGGCAGTAATCAATGATGACAATCGCTATAACAACAAACAGAATTTCAAAGTATACCTAAATGTTCGACCAAAGTTATGGATAAATTTGAAATTCAATTTTTCCTTTGAACATCCTGTGTCTGCAACATTTGTATAAGGCATGTTGGGCTAAATCTTCATATTTTAGTGTTTACTATCTGTAGTTCAGAGATTGCCCATTTTTAAAATTCATAAACTCGAGTTCTGCCTATCTTTACCAAGAGTAAGCAAAATGTCAAAAATAAACCGCCGTTGAAAAATAGGGTTGTTGTTACCATAACCACTTCAATAATATACACACACATCTTCACATTCGGAACTCAGAATGGAATTTGAAGTTCAATGTTAATGCAGTGTCCCAAATTTCAATATTTCGATGTATAAGCGTTTCCATGTAGAGAAATATACAATACAATCAAGTGGCCATGACATAGAGTCCTTCAGCCAATAAGGTCTTGTCTCTTTTTGAAATGTTATTTCCCTTGAGTGTATTGATAATATTTTTTGTTGGAAACAAAACAAGATGATTTGAGGTAAGTGATAAAATCAATGAGATTTCAGTAAGATCATTCAGTAGCGTTATGAGGGACTTTTCTGGAAATTTGTTTATTGGTCTAACATTAGTCCTTTCCATAATCAGTGGTGTCATCTGAGAAAATATACTTTCAAGAAATGACCAAGAAAACGATATTGAATATAGGATATTCCCTAGGGTATTCTCAAGGGTAATCTATAAAGAATATCTACATTTCAGGATGCTTTTAATAATTCAGTGCTAATGATAATACCGGATAATACATAATACTCTACCTATTGTCATTTATTTTTATATCTTTTACTTATAATAAAAAAATGTCTATCCGAGTATTTATTTATCCACATTTGCTGGTAATTCAGAAGTAAGCCATATTTTGGGAATATTTCTGGGAGAACAGGTAGGTATTAACTAGGAAATACAAGAAATATTCAGGAAATATACAAGCAATAGACAGAAAATACGAATAATATTCTTGGATTCGTAGGGAATATATGCAATAAACGAGAAATACAATAACAAGAAATACTGGAAATATATTCTATATTTCCTGAGAGTATTTCCGATTTGACAATACCTGTGGTCCACTTCTTGGATTTTTTGATGAACGGTTTCGGAAATATTGAGTAAAAAACATCTTCAGGGTGTCCTATTTGAAAAAGCGTACCCGAGGGCCTACCTCCCTTAGTAAGCATTTTTCTACAAATATATATCGAAACTTTTTTATCATTTCATCATCATTTTATTACCAATAATGTATGGGAATCACCCTGTTTATGATTCAGAATCACTATATATATTGAGTACGGGGAAGCAATCCGACATTTGGAACATTTAATACATCCGAGTGTACCGGAGTGTACCTAGCGCATTTTTTATATTTTTTCTGATTCCATCAGCATAACTTAACTAAGGTATTTGAAACCATTGGTATTTGATTGTATTCAATTATAACTGTACATAACAGCAACTTCAGCAACTTAGTTCAGACTGGTCAAGAGCTAGTCTCACTTTCTTCGAGAGATCACGAAGTGTATTCCCGTCATCAGTTGCGGCTTCTAATAATAGACTTCCACTCCACTATTCCAATTAAAAAACTCTATTCGCTTTTTCATACTAGACGGGTCTCTTGTGATTTCACGGTCATGCTCGAATTTTTGGTTTAAAACAGTAAATTTCGCGAAGGCACCGTTACATCAGGCTACTATAAGAGCTCCAACGTAATTTCGAGAATGAATCATACGTGATTTTCTGGCCAATCTCGATTTAGAAAGTCTCTCTGTTGCCCCTGGCACTGCACTAATTCGGTAATACCGGATTGGAATGATTTGGCGTGCAGTTATTGAAACAGGGTCATTACCAGCTGTGGAGTAGTTATGCATCGGATCGTACACGGGGTGTTACAAAAGAAGTAGTATGCTGATATGCATAATGTACGGAAATGCAGATTTTCAAAGCAATAATTTGATGTGATATCTTGTCACGTTGAGAAGTATTCTTCGACCTATGTAAATAGCAACCGAAAAATGTTGAATGATGAAGGCCCCTATAAGGGTTCCAAACTGGAATAAATACGTTCCTAACAAAAAAATCATTGGCGCCATTCTAAGTTTTCCTCATACTTGGATAACTCCGAGGATAATTCATAATACGTACAGTCGTCTTCAACGAACATGTCGCAGTTGGACGGTATGAGCGCTCTTATTGCAGCGGTGATCAAGGGAGCTGACACCGTCCATGTGCGACATGATCTCTGAAGACGACTGTACTGGAGTGCACGAAAAGAAATTCCAATAGGTGATGTTCCAAGAACATCGTGCGTACAACAGGGCGAGGAAGTAGGTGTTGGCACCGTGCCTTATAATTTTTCCCATGAGTATCAAGTTGTTTGTCCATTGTGAATTTGAAAATTCCAAAATAATATACAGAAAAAAACTGTGAATACCTACTGCAACTAAAAGAAGAATGAATTAAGATAGTGTCCTTTCAGAGTTTGAAAGGAATGTGATATTCATAGAATAACTAAAAAAAACGTATTTTCCTCCACCAGAACTTATTCGATGGATTACCTTAGTTATGACCAATTATTGGGTGGACAGTTTTCATGTAGAGCAGTTTATTCCTTTACGCCTAAACACTTGCATGTATCGAAAGTTTCATATTTTCACTAACACACACGAAAATCGAGGTGGAATGGAAAATACGAGGGAATATATATTGCTCATCATACTGATAAGATAATCTGGATGGATAAAGGAGTGTATTGAAAATGTTTGGTCAAGGGTTTGAAAATATCGATCATCATGATACCTATCAAGATACCTTATAAATGAATCATTCGAATTCGGGAAAAAGTTTGGGAAAACTGAATGCTTCATTCATTTCAAAAGTAATAAGAAAGATTTTTCTGTGTGATATGAATTGAAAAGATATAAAAATTTCACCAGTAAATTGAAAAAGTTCATCAATGTCGATTATGCTGAAGCCCACGAAATCATAAAACGTAATTTCGTTTAGAAATGAGTAGTAGGTACCTATAATAAAAACGATAATCAAGAATACATTTCAAAGTACAAGGGGTTAAAGATTAAAGTCAAAATTGATGACGAAGGCACGAGATTCCTATGCATAGATGCCAAAAATAATGATCGAATGTTCAGTATATATTATAAGAGAGTCAATAATTTATACATGTCAACAAATCACCAATAATTGAGATGCAGTTACTTAGTACTATCAATTTTCTTTGACCCTTTGGGTGGGTGATAAACGTCACTTACTTTTTTTTTAAGAATTTGGGAACGGTACCAAGAAACTTTTGCTCCTGATGTGGCACTGATCACCGCACACTGAAATATCGCACAAATTTCAAAGTCACTCAACACGCTGAATGTCTATTTATTACCATCGCAACCCTACGAGACTGTGCTCTACCGTGTCTGATAGTATTCTCATCATTTCATGGTGACAATCCTTATCAGTCCGTTCGTTTTCTGGGAGTTTGTGATGAATGGTCCGTGCACAGCGCACAGCGATTATTCCAAATGTGACTATAGACCGATAGCGCGCGCGCTTGGTGTACTAAGTACGAAGCGCAGATAAGCAGTAAACTCTTCTGCGGTGGTAATAGGAGCCGAATGCCGATGGAAAATGCGTTACGCAATCATATAAGAGTGGAACTTCATCGTTTTTGAAGGTGGGAGGTCGATTGTCTGTGGTATTTGGTATTTTCTTTTCAGTTTTTCCGATTTCTATACAGGGTGTTTTATAATTGAATGTCAATATTTGGGGATGCGATTCTCGGGCCCATTCTGAGAAGGAAGTTTCAAATGAACGTATGACCTAAACGTCCAAACTTTTGAGATACAGGGTGGTAAAATTTTCAAGAAGTAATAGCGTTTTATTAATATCTGTAATACCACTTCAGATACTGTCTGTAGGTTAATCGAGGAGGTGGTACATTCATTATTCCAATTTTTTTGGGATTTTCTCTCCTCGTTCCTATAAAATGGAAATATGAATATTACTTCAATATGCGTCAGATGATTTGTCCCAAAAAGTCACTGCGTTTAAAGAATTTTCCTATCAGAGAGCCTAAAAGAAAAATTAACTAGCTTGTCAGTGACAATTTGTATTGAAGGTTGGAAAAGAGAAATAAAGGTATATAGAAAAAATATCAAATTTTCACTTAGCTTTGGACGTTTCGGGACCGAATCTGCTCCCGTTTTCAACATGAAAAATGGTTATTTGAATAGAAAATTCGTATCTGCCTTGAAACTTTCCAGTTCTCAGTGACATGGTATTCATTACTGAAATCTGAAAATGAAAATGGGAAATTCAAAATTAATTAATGAAAACATCCTGTAACTCATTTGCCAACGTCACCAATTGTCACTGAGAACGGAAAAGTTTCAAGACAGATACGAATTTTCTATTCAAATAACCATTTTTTTATGTTGAAAACGGAAGCAGATTCGGTCCCGAAACGTCCAAAGCTAAGTGAAAATTTGATATTTTTTCTATATGCCTTTATTTCTCTTCTCCAAACCATTTTCAATACAATTTGTCACTGACAAGCTCGTGAATTTTTCTTTTAGGCTCTCTGATAGGAAAATTCTTGAAACGCAGTGTCATTTTGGGGCAAATCATCTGATTTCTCCTTACTACAGGTATATTGAAATAATATTCATATTTTTATTTTATTCAAACGAGGAGAGAAAATCCTAAAAAATCTGGAATAATGAACGACTTCAGATATTCTAATGAAATTTGACGTACATGTACTATGTATCAAGAGGCATCAGTTAGTGTACCACATTTTTTTTGGTTGCCACCAGTGGCATTGAATTTCACATACCTATTTTGGCAGACATTGATGGTACACCACTGATTGATCTCGAAATTGAAATCATTCCTGAAATTCCCAATCATTTCTTAGCAAATTTGATCACTACAATTTTTTTCAATCTGATGCACGGTTTTTGCTTAAGAAAATAAGAAAATAAAAAGCTTTTCACTACATGATTATAGCAATATCGTTATAATATGACAATATCACAATGCAGAGAGATATATAGATTTTATTTTTTAGATCAAATTTCAGAAATACAATTCATAGTTTATGAACTTCGTATTCGTATTTGGTATTTTGGATTTGAAACTTCTTTGGGAACTTTAACTTTTACATACAGGGTATCTCAAAAGTTAGAACGTTTAGGTCATACGTTCATATGGAACTTCCTTCTTAGAATGGGCCCAAGAATCGCCTCCTCGAATATTGACATTCAATTATGGAACACCCTGTATAATATGAATGTTTCTGATTGGATTGAGCCTGATAAGGGTTGAAATGTTGAACCGTTGGCTACAGAACTTGAAGTTCTCCAGATATACCAGGTAACCCAGGATTTCACTTCATGGAATCAGTATATTGTGCAACAAGTGGGGAAAGTTCAAATTTCCTCCTGGGTGTGCCGCAAACACACGAGTGAGAAAAATACTTTTCCTCACATGTTGCACACTATAATTTATCTATAACTGCACAAATTTCAAGAATACAAGTAATGGAACTTGATACTCATTTTTATATAGTTATTAAAACTGAAATAACGTCAAAATATTGTACCTCTTAACAGTTGAATGATTTATTCAAAATTATAGTTAATAGTGAAATTCGTACAATGTTGTATTATCATGAATGTCACTTTCTGGAAAATATTTCATTTGTGTATTCATTGTCCATTACATAAATTTTTCGTATGCCAATTCCTATTCATTTTTCTTAAATTTTCTGGCAACAAAATGATCTTATGTTTTTTTGCAGCTTTTTCCAATACCTCTGGCGGAGTATTATCAAAATCGTCACTTAAATGGAAATTGGAATTTTATTCGAAGCACGAATGAAAATTAACTACCTAGGAATTTATAAAACATCTGCTCAATCCAGAATTTCTTTCCACGTCCTGTATGATGAATGTCAATTCATCATACATAAAAAAAACTTCTGCTGATAGTTGTGTCAACTATTCAAAACTGAACAGTTATTTCTCGATTTTTGTTTATTCTCCATGTGGTGTGGGCAATCACGGAATAATATTTCTCACAGTATGAGAAATACATGGTTTTGAAGTTAAGTGAGCTATGAGAAATTCGCTACTTTTCATAGCAGTTGTAGAAAAAGAAATTCTTGTGATATCAGAAATCATTATTATTATGCTTATTCAACTGAATGAATCTGTTGTTTTCTAAACTGACCCTTGTATAGAAAAATTAATTTCTAAATAAATTCACTGAGCATTCATTCTGAAAAATACAAATTCCATTAATAAATACTTTGAGGGATATTGTAAAACGGCCAAGCCCATAGCTAGAAACAAATTTGAAGTACATAATTAAGTAAATTAAGTAAAGTATGGTGCAGATTTTGAGGTCTTATGGGATATACTCGTTATTCGGCATTTGTATGGCTGAAGCATTCTATTTTTTGAATGTTTCTTTTCCGGATGAATAGGGACCTATAAGCGCTACATTTCAAAAATATTTCAACAGGGTGTGCCAAAAACACGAAATGCATCAAAGTTGCTATTGATTTGTCATCGAAAACGAAATGAAGAAATAACAGAAAAACAAGAAAAAGTTGTATTTTTCATTGTTCACTCTGATAAAAAAATTAAACGTCAAGGTAACACCCTGCGTCGCCACTGGGATTATTATTTCGAATCAAATCATGAAATATTCCTCTCAGAATTCTATAGAAGTATTCATATAATTATCACGATCTTAAAAAAATATTCATCCACAGACTATTCCCTCAATCGCATAAGAACATGACAAAACAATTATCCCTGAGGGTGTGAAATTTGGATTATCATAGAATATTCTGAAATTATTCAAATTGGATTATGAAATGGAGTATTCCTCTCAGAATTTCATAGATCATTCAAATCATCATCACTAGGTATAACATAACCCTTCAGAATATTTCCTCTATTACTCAAGAACACGATGGGAGAAAAATCCATGAGTATGTGAAATTTATATTATTAAAATGGGATAAAATAATGGATTGGTCCTCCCAGAATATCATAGTATAATTCGAATCAATATTTCCTTATTCGTTTCTGTCCACTCAATGTAGGTAGGTATATTACACGAGCTAGATGCTTACCGGAGATTGCTGAAATACGATTGAATGGATATGAAATATTGAAATTGAGATATTTGATCTCAGCATGTACCCAGACAGCCCTGGATATTCCTAGAATATTCTCTCAATATGTTCAAAGAGAAGAATATATTCCGAATATTCACCGAATATTTCTATCATTCATTTCATTGTGAATATTCCAATAATATTCCAAAATATATGCAAGGAATATTCCATCAGGAATATTCCCAACTGAATATTATGTTATGTATATTCATGGGATATTCCATGAATTTTCCCATGTATTTCAATGAAATGTTATAGTATAAACACCAATCACTATTTTATAGCTGTGAGTATCAAACATTCACTATATGTATCGAGAATTTGGAACAATAGGTGTCAATAATCTGATTCTCAACAACGCAAGAAAGTGTTATGAACAATATCATTCAACTGGATCACTGGCCTAGTGATTGTTAAGGCGTTGATCTGACAGTCTGAAAGTCATGAATTCGAGCCCATCTTGGCTCAGTGTTTTTCTCATATATCAATATGTTTTGTGGAATATTCCAGGGAAATTGTTTTTATGTTTTTCATTCATATTCCTATATTTGTTTTATCTCTGGCTTATTCCGAATTCTATGTGAATATTCCTAGAATATTATATGTACATTCTAAATATACATATGGGAAATATTCTTTGTGTGATATTCTGGGTATATAAATATTCTTCCAAACTAGTACATACAGGGAATATTCCATAGAAGATGTGTATCTCCCTGATGGCATATTCATGAATATTCCAAAAAGATTATTCTATGAATATTCATGGTATATCTGGTGCTGTCTGGGTATTTGTCATACCCAATCTCACAATACCTAATGTTTTTGAGGAATAGTCTATGGCATATTCAATAATTATTGTTGCGCTATACCTAAACCATGGGGTATTTTATTTTGTATTTCCACTAATGAGAGCCCAACTACTTTCCGATTCAATAGGTCGAATTGCATTCGAAAATACAATGTATTCATACAATTTATTGCAATATTACATTATGTTTAATATGTTTTGAATACATATTCTTGGCTAATTCCTTCCAAAACATAATCACTCGAATAATCATTAGTATATACAATAAAACAAAATAATCATTATACTAGCTCTCATTAACTATACCTATACCCATGCATTAGAGAAACCATCGGTAAGG